TCAGGGATCCATTCACTGGTTGGGTTAAGGCTCTCACAACCCAGTCATGTCTCCTCTGGACCTTCCTGCACCGTCTCACACGTGAGCTTTTGAGGGACATCACGTCTAAACCATACAAGGGTCTCTAGGTTGCTGAGGCTGGCCTAGAACTTGATCCCCCACCTCAGCCCGCTGAGTTTCTGGGAGTATAGGAGAGTGCCACTGTGCCCCACGAAACAGCTTTTTTGTTCTCTCTTCACAGTTGTGACCTGACCCCAGACAGGTTCTGTTCCTGTTGGTGTCTGTGGTGGCTCATGGGCCACATTTGCCTCACACCCCGGCAGGAATGGCTGGAAGGCTGGGCTCACCTGGGTCACTGTCCTCTCTCTCTGTCTCCTCAAGGAGTCTCAGAGCTTCTTGTCTCTGTCCACGTGGCCTCTGCATTTGGCCTGCACAGCCAGCTGGCTGGACTTTCTACGTGGCTCCTCAGGCTCTTCAAGGCCTCTAAGGCTTAGGCATAGGGTCTGGCATAGGGTCACTTTTGCCATGTCCCATTAGTTTAAATGAGTCACAGGACCATTTGGATTCAAAGATAGAGGCTCTCGAAGGTTGTGAATACAAGCAGGTGTGCTTTACTGGGGGATGGAGCATTGCCGATTAGCTGCCACCGAAACTGAGGCCCAGATTCTGAAAGCTATTGGCCTCAGCTAATAGTCATGATTATTTAAATTAGAATATCAAACCAAGTGCAGTGGCACACGCCTGTAATCCCAGTAGCCTGGGAAGCTGAGGCAGGAGGATTGCAGGTTCAAAGCCAGCCTCAGCAAAAGCGAGGTGCTAAGCAACTCAGGGAGACCCTGTCTCTAAATAAAATACACAATAGGGCTGGGGATGGGGCTCAGTGGTTGAGTGCCCCTGGGTTCAATCCCTGGTACCAAAATAAAATAAATTAGAATATCACTGGAGGACTGAGAGCTCCAAAGCAGGATGGTAGGGGGATGAGGGGAAAGAGAAAGTATTTATCCTTAGCCCAGGTTTTCAGATCTCTCCACTATTGATATTTGGTGTTGGGTAAATTGTGTAGAGGGCTTTCTTGTGTATCAGCTGCTGACTGTAGTTCAGATGTCGCCCCAAAGGGCCATGTGTCAAAGGCTTGGTCCCCAGGGCAGTGCTACTGGGGGGTGCTGTGGACTCAGGAGGTGGGGCTCAGTGGGGTCCTTAGGTCATTGGTACATGCTCTTGAAGCAGCTTGTGGGACCCCAGTCTCTTCCTGTTTCCCTCCTACTCATAAGATAAGCCATTTAGCAATTTGCTGTGTGCTCTCCAACATGGTCATCCGTCACCCCCAGATCCAAGCATCGGGACCACTCCATCTTGAACTGGATGGAGCCAAAACTCCAAAACGGTGAGCCAAAACCAACCTTTTATCTTTAAAAGTTAATTGTCTTGGGTATTTTACTCAAGTATCACGAAGCTTATGCCCTCTAGATGGATGGACACATAGACACAGCATCCTCTAGATGCTGTATCTTCTCCCCTTAATTTGTGACAATAAAAAACCTCCAGATGTTGCTAAATGTCCCCTTGGGTGAAAACCCACTCTTTAGTTGAGAACCACCATCCCAGCCTTAGGGGTGTTTAGAAGCCCAGCTGGGCGGAAGGCCTGTCTTCCAGGTAGACCAGTAGAATTTATTTATTTGTACTGGGGATTGAGCCCAGGGGCACTTAACACGGAGCCACATCCCCAGCCCTTTTTATGTTTTGTTATGAGACAGGGTCTCCCTGAGTTGTTCAGGGCCTCACTAAGTTGCTAAGGCTGGCCTTGAACTTGTGATCCTGCTGCCTCAGCTGCCTGAGCACCTGGGATTACAGGTGTGCACCATTGCACCTGGCAACTAGTAGAATTGATATTCTTAAATTCTTCCATTGAGAAATGAAAAGGACAAGGAGAGTCAATTTTATAGTCTGGCCGCATGTTTTACGTGGAGTCTTTACATTGGCTCAAGGTGTGTTAAGTTTCTGCTCTAAATGCCCCAAGTTTATTTTATTTTTTTTTAAATTTTTTTGACGTTGGTGGACCTTTATTTTATTCATTTATTTATATGTGGTACTGAGAATTGAACCCAGTGCCTCACACATACTAGGCAAGTGCTCTACCACTGAGCCACCACCCCAGAGCCCCAAGTTCATTGTTAAGCTTTTAAGATGATGTCCCCCAAGTGAAATCTGAACAGGTGTCCTGCTTCACGGCCAGTACACAGCACGAACCAACTCCCTCACGCCCTTGCCTTTTCTTTTACTAAGAATCATCTTTAGAGAAGTAGGTGGATTTTAAAGCCCTGAGGTTGGGTGAGATCAGCTTGAGAAATAGGCAGGTAAAGAAAGAAGAAAAGGTAGTGGTGTAGGCCAGAATCCACCCTGAGGCCCTCCAACAGGTAGAGGTGGGGAGGGAGGAAGGGAGGGAGGGACAGACAGATAGACAGATGATAGATGGACCCATAGATACATAGATGACAGATAGATGGACACAGAGACACACACATAGATGTGTGCACAGATAGATGGACACATAGATAGATAGATACACAGATACATAGATACTTAAATAGATAAAATAGACCACCAGGATCCAGAAAAATGCTTGTAAACAGAAGACCAGAAAAATGGCTGAATATAGTGGCATACACCTATAATCCTACCTCCTCTGTGGCTGAGGCAGGAGGGTCGCAAGTTCCAGGCCAGCCTGGGCAACGCTTAGTGAGACCCTATTCCAAAATAAAAAATAAAAAGAGCTGGAGATGTGGCTCAGTGGTAAAGTGCGCCTGGATTCTATCCTGGTACTGGAAAAAAAGGAAGGGAGGGAGGGAGGGAGGAAAAAGAAAAGAAATAAAAAAAAATGTATGTATGTGCACGAATACACATATATATATACACACAAGCCTTTTGTTTTTTCCTAGTTTGTAGATACACACATATGCATACACACATTAAAATGCATATACACACGTGTATGCACATACTTATATACATGCGTGCATATATTTATGTGTGCATGTGTGTGCAAACTTCATATGCACGCATGCATATGTTGTATGTATACAGATGTATGTACAGATATATCCTACTCAGTTGAAAACCTATTGAATCTATGGATTAGCAAGAATAATTGGAAGTATCTCTGATTATACTTGGACAAACAGAGGAACTGACCTATCAGTGCCCGGTCCAGTCTTGGGATTGCCTCCTGTAGAACCTGAGGGGGAATGCCATGAGCTCTGGGGAACTGGCCTGCCTAATACACCCCAGGGTCCACAGTGCCTAGAAAAGGACGTGACACAGGGCAGGTGCTCATGATGAGTTTGTTGAATGAACAGGTGTCTGTACTCAAACAACTCAGGAAGGGCCAGGTGACTTGCGTGATTAGGTATAGCTCTGTGTGACTGCATCGTGGTCAACGCTGCTGGTCCCTGCCTGGATCCCGTCCATCTAGAGGGACTCTCAGCCTCCGGCTGCTGTGAGCAGTGGCTTGATCCAGGTCAGAGATGATGATCTGTGACCAGGGATTGTCATAGAAATATTAGAGGTGGTGGATTCTGTTCAGTCTCCAACACTCTAGGGGGGAAAGTGGTACCCAACCACTGGGTACGTTTTGATAGCAGAGCCGACCCGAACTCCTGGTGGCTAGGACATGGAAAAGTGACACAAAGAGAACAGGCAAGGATGATCCACGGGTTCTGGCCAGAGCAGCTGGGTGGGGGAAGTTGAGGTTTGCTAAGATTTGGAACAAGTGGGGCAGAGACACAGAAATGCATATTTGATCATGTTAATTCCCAGCGTATCTGCTAGACGTCCAAGAGGACAAACTGAGTAAATGGTTTAATACTTGAATCTGAGGTTCACAAGATAGACTGGGGCTACAGATAATTTGGGAGTTATCTGCATATGGATGATGTTTAAAGCCACAAGACTGAAAAAACAAACAAGAAATCACCCACAAATTGAGTGTGTTTAGAGAACAGAACAATAAGGGTTGAACCCCAGAAACTTTTTTTAAATATATTTTTTATTTGTTCTAATTAGTTATACATGACAGTAGAATGCATTTGGACACATCATACACAAATGGAGTGCAACTTCTCATTTTTCTATTGTACATGATGTAGAGGTACACAAGTCATGCAATCATATATGCACATAGGGTAATAATATCCAATTCATTCTACTATCCTTCCTACCCTCATACTCCCTTCCCTCCCTTCACTCCCCTCTGTCCAGTCCAAAATACCTCTATTTTCCTCCCCCTTATTGTGAATTAGCACCCACATATCAGAGAAAACATTTGGCCTTTGATCTTTGGGATTGGCTTATTTCAGTTAACATGAGAGTCTCCATTTCCATCCATTTACCAGTAAATGCCATAATTTCATTCTTCTTTATGGCTGAGTAATAGTCCATTGTTTATTGATTCCACATTTTCTTTATCTATTCATCTGTTGAAGGGCACCTAGGTTGGTTCCATAGCTTAGCTATTGTGAATTGAGCTGCTATAAACATGGATGGGGCCATGTCACTCTAGTATGCTGATTTTAAGTCCTTGGGTATAAACCTAGGAGAGGGATAACTGGGTCAAATGGTTGTTCTATTCCTAGTTTTCTGAGGAATCTCCAGACTGCTTTCCTTAATGGTTGCACCAATTTGCAGTCTCACCAGCAATGTATGAGTCTATCTTTTTCCCCACATGCTCGTCAACATTTATTATTGCTTGTATTCTTGGTGATTGCCATTCTGACTTAACCCTAGGAGCTTTAAAGGTAAAGGTCGGTCCCAAAGTTTCTATAAGAGTCACTTCCTTGTAGTGTAATAAGTTTCTCAGTCTTTCTCAGATCTACAAATTTGGTTTTTTTACTCATCATTTGAATCAAATTGTTGCTGCTCCAGGTATCTATGGCTGCATAACAAACTTGACCAAAACTCAGTGACTTAAGACACCATTTATTTTAATACATCTCCTCATCTTGCAGTGTCCAGTGTGGGCTGGGCTGGCGATTCTCCTGGTTTTCTTGGGGTAGCTGGAAGACTGTCACTGGTATTCTGCTGGGGAATGAATGAATACATTCATGGAAGACTGATGTGGAGTGAATCTTGTGGCCGATCACGTAGGAGCAGGTGAGAAGGGGTTCCGTTCTCCTGCGCAGGAAGGAGGGTTGGGCCTTCCTGGAGAGAGGCTTTCAGGGCAGCTGCAGAAGTGCAGGGAAATGACCAGAAGTCTGGAGAATTGCAGCATAAATAAAGAGAGACAGTTTATAGGGAGCAGAGAATCCAGAATCCCGCTGGTGTGCAGGTGTTCCTCGAGATCACTGCTTTCATCTCATTGAAGACTGAGCCTTGACCTTGGGAGCTGAGGACTCCTGTGTCAGAAGCCATAGCTCTATGTATTTCTTTTTTGGGGAGAGTACCCAGAATTGAACCCAGGGGTGCGTAACCACCAAGCCACATCCCCAGCCCTCTTTATATATTTTATTTAGAGACAGGGTCTCACTGAGTTGCTTAGGGCCTCACTAGGTTGCTGAGGCTGGCTTTGAACCTGTGATCCTCCTGCCTCAGCCTCCTGAGTCTCTGGGATTACAGGTGTGCACCACCCCACCTGGATCTACGTACCTCTCAGGGAATATGTTCTAGACTTTTCAGGAAGAAAAAGTTGTTTCTTCTTTTGTGTCCTCACAGCATTTTGAACCCAGGAAATCCTCATTAAACTGATGAAAACGTCAGATAAAGACACTAAAATGAGGAGCTCATTTTAATGCATATTGTAGGCATGCATTTGGGGAGAGGGCAGATTTAGTAGCAATTTACCTTGAAAGAAAATAAAAATAAAATTACAAAAAAAAGGGTTTTTTTTCTTATTCAATTAAATGTTATTTCTGGTTGCGACTAGATGCAAGAGACAAAGAACGAAATAAGTGCTGATTGTTTCATTTGTCATACAGTTTTATTGAATAAAATTTTATAAAATGACAAGTCATCTGTCATTCAAATGTCTCTTTGCTATTTTATTAATGAAAGATTGCTTTTGCATACTCACACACACACATACACACACACAATGCTTTAAAATTTTTTGGTCTGTAATTTATTTATAGAAACAGCATAAGTTGGAAGTATACAGCTCAATGAATTTTCCTTCTTTTTTTTTTTTTTGGTACTGGGGATTGAACTCAGGGGCACTTAACCACTGAGCCCCATCCCCAGCTGTTTTTATATTTTATTTAGAGACAGGGTCTCACTGAGTTGCTTAGGGCCTCGCTAAGTTGCCGAGGCTGGCTTTGAACTTGCCATCCTCCTGCCTCAGCTGCTGGGATTTCCAGGCGTGGCCGGTTCTCATTTTCATAAACCATCCCCAGGGACGCAGTTGGCACCTAGCTCTAAAACAGAACATGACCAGCAGCTAAGTGTTCCCCTTGTCCAAATGCAATCAGGACCCAACCCTACCCCTCCACCCAGGTAGCAACTCTCCTGACTTCTAATAATAGGGGTGAGTTTTGATTGTTCTTAAATTTTATATGAATTGAACTGCATTTTGTTAGTTGGCTTCTTTTTCTCATATCTGTAAGGTTTACCTATGTTGTTGCTGGTAGTGGTTTTTGTTTGTTTGTTTGTTTTTCTTTCTTTTTATTTTCTTTTTGGTTGGTGGTGTAGGTCCTTTAAAAATGCATCATTATTGCTGTGTTCTCCATTGCATCAGAGATACCAAAGTTCATCTGTTCCACCATTATTGGGTATTTGGGAAGCTTCCAGTTGGAGGTGCTTGGTCATGCCCAGGATACTCCATTCCAAAATATGTCACTTGGCATTTGAGAAAGCTGCAGAAGCAAGAAAGTCTCTGTGCTCTTTGTTGCCTTTGAAGCAGTCCGCAGAGTCTAGCCAGCCTTCCCCTGAAGGTCATAGACCTTCTTCCCCAGAAATTCCCGGCATTCCCTTCTATCCCAACAGAAAGGAATGAAGATGAGGAGGTGCCTAAGTCCTCCTGCCCCCCAGTTTTTCACCATTAAATCCTACTCTGTTCTTCCCTCACTATACTTCTGCCTGCCCCCTCCATAAAAAATATAGCTTCTGTAATCCCAGCAACTCAAGAGGCTGAGGCAGGAGGATTTCAAGTTTGAGACCAGCCTGGGAAATTTAGTGAGACTCTGCTTCAAAATAAAAATACAAAAAAGGGCTGGGGACTTGGCTCAGTGGTACAGTACCTGGATTAATCCCCTTGTGCTACCCCACCACACACACATTTATTTATTATGTATTTATTTTTTCCTGTTTGGATCTTCATTTCTGTTACAGTTTGAAGGTGACGTGGCCCCCCAAAGCTCACGTGTGAGACAGTGCAAGAAGGTCCAGAGGAGACTGACTGGGCTGTGAGAGCCTTAACCCAACCAGTGAATGAACCCCTGATGGGATTAACTGGGTGGTGGCTGGAGGCAGGTGGGTGTGGCTGGAGGAGGGGGCATTGGGGGCGTGGCTTTGGGGTCTATTTGTCTCTGGAGAGTGGAGTCTCTCTCTGCTTCCTGGTCACCATGTGAGCTGCTTCCCTCCACCACACTCTTCCTCCATGATGTCCTGCCTCCCCTCGAGCCCCGAGGAATGGAGCCTGCTGTCTATGGACTGGGACCTCTGAAACCCTGAGCCCCCAGATAAACTTTTCCTCCTCTACAGTTGTTCTGGTCAGATCTTTAAGTCACAGCAGTGAAAGAGCTGACTGAAACAATTTCTAAAAGTTCCCAGGTCACATAAAACTTAAGAAGGAAAATTCGCATGTTTTTCTCTTGTTAATCTGTCTTTTGTTACAGGAGCCTGAGCATGAACCTAGACTTGACATGGAAAAGATATTACTGTGTCTCTTTGTGCCTGTCATGAACATTTTAGGGCAAGAGATTTGGTGCACTTGTGTAGGCATTTCTCTTGGGTCACGCTGTGGTTGTTCTTGTCTGGGAATCTGTGAACTTGGCCCTGATCAAAATTGTTGCTTCAGTGATGTATCCTTGTTAGAACTCTTATGTGTGGATGTCACTCAGTGAGAAAGCACTTGCCTAGCAAGTGTGAGGCCCTGGGTTTGATCCCCAGTATAGCAAAAAAAAAAAAAAAAAAAATCAATGATTCAGCACAAAAATTAAAAGTTATGATACCCCCAATTTTGCAGATATAGAAGCAAAATAGCAGGGTGCAAATGAGGTTATTAAAACAATTTTTTTATCATAGGAGAAATAGCATTGATGCTTCTGTCTTGAAAACAGATGCCCTCAAGGAGATGAAGCTTCCCGTTAAGCTCTCATTCACGCTGTGTCTCCAGTACATGCAAAAAATGTCCCCCCACACATCACCCAGCAACTGCAGGCGGAGAAGTGGTCCACTTCTTTAAAATAGATGAAAGACTTTGCAGAGCAGCGAGAAGTTGACATATCTCACTTGTGGGGGTGCAGGATTGTCATCAAGGCCCTGCGTCATGGTGAAATTGGCAGTATTTTTGTTCTTCCTTTTAGGCAGATAAATAACAATGCATTCAGGAACAGCAATGGCTTAGAGATGGTGACATATGGTAATTAGGAGAATATTAAAGCTATAATTTATTAGTGCTAGTGTTGTACTCAGCAATTTACAAACATTCTCCCATTTAATTTAATCTTCACAGCAGCTTTATATGATAGGGAAGATTTTGGGCCAGGGAGAAATTAGGTACTTGGAGCAAAGCTACGTTGTAGCGATGGAGTCAGCCTCCTTCTGAATGATTACTGCCCAGGGCTGGGAGGTCTGAGAGTGTCCAGCTGTGCCAGTGGAAGATGAGTTCAGTCCAGGTGAGGAGGGCAGAAAGGTCCTATTGGCATTGTGTCAGGGTAGTGTTCTCTCCTCCAGTTTTACCAGTCATAAAGCCACTTCCGGTCCCAGTTCTCACCCTGTGTTAACTGCATGGGTTGATATAGTTTAATAGTGTTCTTATAATCTCCCTGTTGCGATATTATCCCCCGTCGTGTCTGTTTTCAACACAACGGCTAGAGTGAATATTTTTTTTTTAATTTTTTATTGTTGGTTGTTCAAAACATTACATAGTTCTTGATATATCATATTTCACACTTTGATTCAAGTGGGTTATGAACTCCCTTTTTTACCCCGTATACAGATTGCAGAATCACATCAGTTACACATCCATTGATTTACATGTTGCCATACTAGCGTCTGTTGTATTCTGCTGCCTTTCCTATCCTCTGCTATACCCCCTCCCCTCCCCTCCCCTCCCATCTTCTCTCTCTACCCCCTCTACTGTCATTCATTTCTCCCCCTTGTATTATTTTTCCCTTTCCCCTCACTTCCTCTTGTATGTAATTTTGTATAACCCTGAGGGTCTCTTCCATTTCCATGCAAATTCCCTTCTCTCTCCCTTTCCCTCCCACCTCTCATCCCTGTTTAATGTTAATCTTCTTCTCATGCTCTTCGTCCCTACTCTGTTCTTAGTTACTCTCCTTATATCAAAGAAGACATTTGGCATTTGTTTTTTAGGGATTGGCTAGCTCCACTTAGCATAATCTGCTCTAATGCCATCCATTTCCCTGCAAATTCTATGATTTTGTCATTTTTTAATGCAGAGTAATACTCCATTGTGTATAAATGCCACATTTTTTTTTATCCATTCGTCCATTGAAGGGCATCTAGGTTGGTTCCACAGTCTTGCTATTGTGAATTGTGCTGCTATGAACATCAATGTAGCAGTGTCCCTGTAGCATGCTCTTTTTAGGTCTTTAGGGAATAGACCGAGACTAGCTCAGCGGTTCCTTCGACAGAAAACTTACAATAGAGTGAATATTTAAAACCTGAAGCAGCCAGGAGCAGTGGCACTGGCCCGTAATCCCAGCACCTCGGAGGCTGAGGCTGGAGGATCAAGAGTTCAGAGCCAGCCTCAGCCATTTAGCAAGGCCCTAAGCAACTCAGTGAGAACCTGTCTCTAATAAAATATTTTTTAAAAAAGGGCTGGGGATGTGGCTCAGTAGTTGAGCACCCCTGGGTTCAACCCACAGTACTAAAAAAAAAAAAAATACGGCCTAAAGTAGAAAAAAATAAACAAAATCTAAAGCAGAATATGTCACTTATCAGGACTGGGGTGTAGCTCAGTGGTAGAGCCCTTACCTAGAATGTAGGAAGTCCTGGGATTGATCCCTAGCACTGTATAAACAAATAAATAAGCAAGCAAATAAATAAGAAATCCTTCCAAGGATTTCAAATATTTATTTCAAATAAATAAGAAATCCTCACTTGGCATGAAAACTGAAGTCTTCACAGCCCCCTATAAGGCCTTGGGCCTGGTGGCCTGATGCCACCCTCTGACTTCTTCTCTAATCACCCCCCTCCCGTAGTTCCAGCCATAGCAGCCTTTCTCAGTGTGGGTCCCCCACCTGGAACAGACGTGGAGACAAGGATTTGAGTGTCAATCACTTTTTTTGGAAAGTGAAGGGAATGCCCTTAGGAAATTGAACCGGAGGTAGGAAAGGGAACTCTCCTAATACAGGGTGTGTCGCCAAAGCCACGGTGGGCAACAGATATTAATTCCCACTGGAAAGTTCTGGAAGCTAGGTCATGCAAGAACTTAGCCTGCCTGAGGGGCAGGGGTCTTGGATCTCTATCCAGCAACTCCTGTCTGTCCCTGGCCTGTGTCACCTCCTGCCACTGCTAGGAAGCTGTGTGTGGGGACAGGACAGGGGTCAGTGCCAGAGAGAGCCCTCAAGCAAAATGAGGGCTGATGCAGGCCATCTGATGTTAGCCAGGTGCTGAAATGGCTAGGCCCGAGGTGTGTGGGCGGGACCTGAGGAAGTCCCTCACAGGCCCCTGACGTTGCTGTCCCTCTACCTGGAACACTCCCCACTGAGATACGCAGACACTGGTCCTTGAGATATGTGCACACATGACTCCTGAGGCGGAGGGAGGGTCTTTCCTGATCCCTTCTCTAAATCGTCCCCAACTCCTAACACATGCGTATATCTTACTTATTGTCTGTCTTCTCCAAGTAAATAGAGGCACAAGGAGGGCAGAAATTTTGATCTGCTATAATGGTTGCATTATCCTCAATGCCTAGCACCATGTCTGGCACATAATAGAAGTTCAATAAATATGGAATAGACATTTGAAAGGTTCTTGTTTTTTGTGTTTTTCAGTACTGGAAATTGAACCCTGAACTACATCCCCAGGCATTTCCATTTTTAATTTTGAGTCAGGGTCTCTCTAAGTTGCCCAGGCTGACATCAAACTTGTAATTCCCCTTCCTCAGCCTTGGAGTGGCTGGGATCACAGGTGTGTGTGTCATCACACCCGGCATGAAAGATCAGATTTTCAAAATCTCTGTTTTGGCCTGGTTCGGTCGTGAATGCCTATAATCTCAGCAGCTCGTCGGGAGGCTGAAGCGTGAGGATCATGAGTTCAAAGCCAGCCTCTGCAACTTAGCAAGGGCCTAAGCAACTCAGTGAGACCCTGTCCCTAAATAAAATACAAAATAGGGCTGGGGATGGGGCTCAGTGGTAGAGTGCCCCTGAGTTCAATCCCCTGTGCCAATAAATAAATAAATAAATCTCTCTTTTGTCCCATTGTTTATCTATAGTCACCTATGGGGAAGAAGAATATGATTAATTGCCATCTTCACAGTTTATATATTTTTGTTGGTTTTTTGGGGGGGATGGGAGGATCTTGCTATGTTGCCCAGGATCATCTCTCTTTCTTTCTTAATCTTAATTATTAATTTTTAGATGTACATGACACCCAGGCTCATCTCTAACTGGTGGGCTCAAGAGATCTTCCCCCCTAAGCCCTCCGGATTTGGGACTACACTGCGCACACACCAGCAGGCCTGGCAGATTGGCATCTTCCAACTTCAATGCACACTTGTTTATATTTGGGGCCTGGTTGTGAGTTCCTTTAAATGCACCCCTGCCCATTCCACAAATAACGAGTATCTTGTCTCGTGCCAGGCACTGTTCAAAGAACTAAAAAGTGACAGTATATCAGCCAGGAATGACTTTTGGCACAAAGTGACAGAAATGCTGAAAGCATGGTTTAAACCAAGTCAGGTTCTCATTTCCCCATGTAATTAGAAGTCTAGACAGAGGCCAACCAGGGCCCCCACAGTGGCTCCACAGGGGCCATCGGGGACCACGTCTGCCTTTCCCTTCTCCTCGGGGTCTCAAGCTTGCTGCTCCAGCAACCAGCAGCCTCTGCATTCCAGGCAGAGAGGAGAGATGGCAAAGGGAAACGTGTGTTCCAGAGGATTCCTCACCTGGGAAGAGCATTCCTAGAAAGCTCCTCGCTCATCTTGTGCAGCATTTATTAGTTTGCATTTTTTTTTTGTACCAGGGATTGAGCCCCATCCCCAGCCCTTTTCATATTTTATTTAGAGACAGGGTTTCACTGAGTTGCTTAGGGCCTCGCTAAGTGGCTGAGGCTGGCCTTGAACTTGTGATCCTCCTGCCTCAGCCTCCTGAGCTGCTGGGATTACAGGTGTGTACACTGTGCCCAGCAAGAACCATGAAAGCTGTCACCATAGTGCAGAAAAAAATAAAAAACAAGACATCAAACACCTCTTCACTTACCTGTACATGCCACTTGCAAAACACACCAAATAGCCACCAATGTTGTGCAGAGAGACTACATAAGAGGTGGAGTTCAGAGGTGACCCAGGTTCTGTCTCATACCTAGAAGTCAGGGAAGCAGCTTTCAGAGGTGACCTTGGCGCTGACTTCTAAGTGATGGTACAGAGGCAGCCTTTCCAAGATCAACCACGATTTTACTGATCTTTTGTTGGTCATCATTTAATCCAGGACAGGAAGGCAGTCTCACCTTGTCTGCCTCGTTCTACACAATCCAGCCTTCCAGATAGGGTGTCCATCATTCTTAGTTTTCCTGAACATTCTTTCAGTGCTGTCATGGGACCATTTTTTTCCTTCCTCCTCTTTTTCTCTTCTCTTTTCTCCCTCAGCAAAAATAATAATAATAATAATAATAATAATAATAATAATAATAATAATCAAAGTTCTCATTGAAGTTATTCCTTGACCACAATGGTCAAAGATCATGGGACTCGGGGTGGCGAGGAGGGCTGGTTTGCTGTTTGTTAAGCAGGGCAGAACACAATGCCAGGAAGACGCATCTCGGGGAAATAAACCAGATGTGGAAGATCCATAAGAGAATGGGCAATTTGGGGAAATCCTGCTTAACCCATAAGACAGTCTGGCGAATGTCGATTTTATTGAAGGAGATGCATCGTGTGAGCTCAAAGATTTGGAATCTTGATGCTTCTCTGCAGCACTGGGAGAAACTCTATCCCTGTGTTACGGTCTCATTTCAATACAGCCTTAGAAAGGGGTTTTCAAGCTTCATGTATTGTAAGTCAGTTGTTACTGAGAAATGTGTGTGTGTGTGTGTGTGTGTGTGTGTGTGTGTGAGAGAGAGAGAGAGAGAGAGAGAGAGAGAGAGAGAGAGAGAGACTCTGAGTGTTGAACCAGCCTCATATATGTTAAGCAAGTTTTCTATCATTGAACCACATCCCCAGCCCTGAAATGTGCTTTTTATTTATTTATTTTTAAGACACTGTAGATTGAACCCAGGGGCATTTGACCACTGAGCCCCATCCCCAGCTCTATTTTGTGTTTTATTTAGAGACAGGATCTCCTTGAGTTGCTTAGGGCCTCACTAAGTTGCTGAGGCTGGCTTTGAACTCACTATCCTCCTGCCTCAGCCTCCCGAGCTGCTGGGATTACAGACTTGTACCACTGAGCCCAGTTGAAATGTGATTTTTTTACATCTGGAAATTTTACTGATCACAGTAGGGATTATGAGGGCTGGGGATGTAGCCTGGTGGTACAGAGCTGGCTTAGCAAGGGAGAGGCCCTGGGTTCAATTCCCAGTACCCTCCCCCCCACACACACAAAATAGAAAAGAAAAAATGGATTACAATGTGACTGTATTTTTTCTCGAAACTGTCAGCATATGGTCTCTTGCTATCTGTTGTTTTCTCCCAGTATTTTATGAGGTAGGTAGTTGTCCTTTATCCAAGGTGTGCCACACATAGAAACACCTTTGTGCAAGTAGGGAACTACAATTTCTAAAATATCTAGCTAGATGAAAATCAGCAGATGCGTTCAAGTCCACTTTCAAGAGAATCGACGGAGGAGGGTGGGGAAATGTCAGGGAACACTGTGGCTATCTGCCACCTTACCTTACATTTACCAGTGACTTTTTATGCTTCATAGAGAAATGGTGAACATGCTTCCTGTCCCATTTAATTTTGGAATCTGAATGCGGTCATACTGTGTTTTCTCCTTTGCTTTAAAGATTAAGGACTCTTTATGGGATGGCTACTGAGGATTGAACCCAGAGGTGCACTACCACTTAGCCACATCCCAGCCCTGTTCTTTTTTCTTTCTTTATCAAAGATTGAACCCAAGGGCACTTAACCACTGAGCCACATCCCTTTTTTTATGTTTTATGTAGAGACAGGGTCTCGTGAAATTGCTTAGGGCCTTGCTAAATTGCTGGCTCCTGCTGCAGCCTCCCAAGCCACTGAGATTATAGGTGTTGCACCACCATGCCTGGCTTCATTTTTTATCTTGAGACAGGGTCTTGCTAAGTTGCTGAGGCTGGCCTCAAACTTGAGATCCTCCTGCCTCAGCCTCCTGAGTTGCTGGGATTACAGGTGTGCACCTGGGTAAGAATAAGTACTTTTTCGTCCCCAATTTCACCAAGATGGTGAGGTGATTCAGTACTTTTGTAAACTGCTACACCCAGATGACTTATTAGCGTTATGTACCGTTTTTCATTATTTATCTGGATATATTAGTGCTGTGTAAATGCAGCCTAAGTGGAAAGGGTTTTCGGCCATGCTGGGAGTGGAGCCCAGAGCCTTCCTCACACCTGCTAGGCAAGTGCTCTACCACTGAGTTACACCCCACCTACCCACAGCTTTTCTTTTTAGTTGTAAGAAATCTGTATGATAACTGGGCATGGTGATGTTTGCCTGTAGCCTCAGCTTCTTAGGAGGCTGAGGCAGGAGGATCACCTCAGCCCAGGAGTTTGAGACCAGCCTGGGCAATGTAGTGGAAACCTGTCTCAAAAACACAAACAAAAAACCTGTTTCCTGAGCTGGGTTTTGGCTCAGTGGTACAGTGCTTTCTAGGCACATGTGAAGCACTGGGTTCAATCCTTAGCACCACATAAAAATAGATAAATAAAATAAAGGCACTGTGTCAAAATAAAATATAAGGCACTGTGTCAATCTACAACAAATATTTAAAAAACAAAATTGTTTTCTGCCAGGCACTGTGGAGCACGCCTGTAATCCCAGCAGCTGGGGAGGCTGAGGCAGGAGGATCAGAAGTTCAAAGCCAGCCTCAGCAAAAGTGAGGGCCAAACAACTCAGCGAGACCCTGTCTCTAAATAAAATACAGAATAGGGCTGGGGATGGGGCTCAGTGATTGAGGGCCCCTGAGTTCAACACCTGGTTCAAAAAAAAAAAAACCTGTTTTGTTTTGGGGTGTGTGTGGGGTTACTGGACATCAATCTCAGGGCCTCACATATGTGAGGCACATGCTCCATTACTGAGCTATGTCTCCAACTCTTTTTAAAACTTTGAGACAGGATCTTGCTAAGCTGGCCTTGACTTGGGATCCTTCTGCCTCAGCCTCCCCATAGCTAGAATTGAGGGGTGGGATCACACTAGGAAAATCTATGTTATAATAGAGTCAAACATGGCAATATCTTTAGGAAGCATGACTCTTTCCTTTCCCCTCCCCTTTGATAATGATTTTCTCTGTTTAAAGAATCCCTCCTCTTTATCCTATTGATCATAAACCCCCATATTCTTAATTTTTGAATTCCGTGCCTTGTTCATGCACTAAATCTACTTATGGAATAAACTTTGAAGAAAAAAAGATTTTGATAGCCAGAAACGTTTTAAAAATGCTACTTGAATGGTTTAAATATTCTATTGTATTAACATGAAGGAATTTATTTGCAATGATTAGCAACCATATTCTTAAAATATCTAATGAGAAAATGGTGTTATCATGTTGAGTTAAGTTAAGGAGGCCAGGGAGAGCGGTCACTGGAGCATTTCAGTTTTGTAAGATGCATTTGGAAAACTGGAACATGATATATCCCAGTATGATGTACTGCATGGTGGAAATGTAATTTTTACTTTCTTATTTTGTATTTTCCTTCATGGTTATTTTTACACGGATTGCTTTTACATGGATCTTTTTTTGTTACAATGAATACATAAAGACAATTTTTTTGGGGGGGAGGGCACCTGGGGATTGAACCCAGGGGCATTCAACCACTCAGCCCCGCCCCCTTTCTTTTTCCTTTTTGTATTTAATTTAGAGTCTGGCTGCGCTTGTTCTATATGATGGGAACGAAGACCTTCAGAGCATGAGAACAGGGAAGAGACCATACATTGCTCAACGAGAACTCCAGCCTAGCACCGAGGCACATGCCTGTCATCCCAGCGACCCCTGCGGCTGAGGCAGGAGGATCGCAAGTTCAAGATCATCCTGCGCAATTTAGTGTCTCAAAATAAGAAATAAAAATAAAAAGGTCTGGAGATGTAGTTCTGTGTTAGAGCAATTGCCAAGCAGGTGTAAGGCCCTTGGTTCCATCCCCAATACTGCAAAAAATAAATAGATAAAGGAAAGAAAGAAAGAAAACAATATTATAATCTAGAGTTGGGTGCAGTGATGCACACCTGTAATCCCAACAGCTCAGGAGGCTGAGGCAGGAGGATCTGAGTTCAAAGCCAGCCTCAGCAACTTAGCAAGGTCCTAAGCAACTCATGGAGACCCTGTCTCTAAATCAAGAATAAAAAGGGCTGGGGATGTGGCTCAGTGGTTAAGTGCCCCAGGGTTCAATCCCTGGTATCCAAATACACACACACACACACACGCACACACCACACACGCACACACCACACACGCACACACCACACACGCACACACAAACACACACACACTCCAATGATCATAGCATTGGAAGGAAAGAAGAGCTAGAACGTTAAAAATATTACCATTTATGCTGAAATTGCAGCCTTCCCTATTTAAAGGTCTACTTAGTGGACTTCCTTCTAATTGGAAAACAAAACAGGGATTCCTAGCTAGGCCCTTCTCTTTATCTCTTTCTGTTGAAACACAGATATCCTGTTGTGATAACCTTTGACACTTCATTACATCGCCACAGTAAATAACAACTGCCCCTATTTTGTCATGCTACCCCTGGTTAAACAGTGCCATTCATCACTGAACATAAAAGTTGACATTTTTGTGAATAGAAGGAAATGTCATTTGAATTCCTTTGCTGTGTTCCCTAAATTTATTCAAGGGTTCTGAATGGTTTAAATGGCTAAGAAAACTATGGGATGGTTGGTTTGTCAGAGAGAACTGCCCCCCACCAAAAAGAGGATCCAGCCCGTCTGGGGCCAGCGGCAAAATGTTAAGACTTACAGAACTTCACAGGAAACATGAACCCGAGTCACCAGGACAGCCACAAGGCCAAAATAGATCACATAGGAAATAGTTGTTTGCAATTATTAATTATTCTCATTGAAATATCACCAATTTAGTTATTCTGTAGTAGATATCTAACTAATGTGAAAGATATCCGCAAGCTTTCTTATTGCTTAGAATTGCTTAAGTAGTTTTTTGTTTACTATTAAAAAAGGACACTTGAGGCTGGGGCTGGGGCTCAGTGGTAGCACACTTACCTGGCATGTGTAAGGTACTGGGTTCGATTCTCAGCACCACATGTAAACAAATAAATAAAGGTCTATCAACAACTTTATATATATATATATATATATATATATATATATACACACACATATATATATATATGACTTATTGAAACAATGTTGAAAGACAAAAATGAATTCAAATCACAAAAAATCATTATGTACATAACTATGAATAAATTCTTGGAAATTTTTTTTTACTATTATGTTGTTATATTGAACTGATTAAAAATTTTGCACCTTTTTATTTTTGGTATTTGTCATTCTTAGTGTTTCTTAAATTAGGAAAAGACTGGCTTTATGTAATTCAAATTTTACTGAATTTTGTTTTTCTATGACCAACTTTTATTTTTTATTAACTTACATGTTAATAAATGTTTCTAATCTTTGTTTCAGTTCGATTTTTAGTTTCTTTCTAATCTTTTCCTTTTTTAAAAAAAATTTTTTTTAGTTGTAGGTGGACACCATACCTTTATTTATTTATTTTATGGGGTGCTGAGACTTGAACCCAGTCCCTCCCACATGCCAAGCAGGCGCTCTGCCACTGAGCTATAGTCGCAGCCCTCTCATCTTTTCAAGACTGTTTTTTTGTTGTTGTTGTTTGTTTGTTTTTGGTACCGAGGATTGAACCCACTGAGCCATATACCCACCCTTTTATGAAAAAATATTTTATTTTGAGACAGGTCTCCCTGAGTTGCTTAGGGCCTTGCTAAGTTGCTAAGGCTGGCTTTGAACTTGCGGTCCTCCTGCCTCAGCCTCCCGAGCTTTGGAATTATAAGTGTGTGTCATGCCTGGCTCGAGACTCCGTTTTAATAAAATATGAACTAGTCTGTGACCAGTGACCTTGGTCCTACTTGGATCTGAATTCTGACATTCAGAATGAGCTTGGAAGTGGATTCATTTGCAGAGGTTCTAGGAAGCAGAGCAGCGATACCTTGACTTTGGCTTCACGAAACTCTGAGCAGAACACCATGCGGTGCCCAGACTTCTGACTACAGAAACTGGTCCTGGAGGAATCTCTCAGTGATCTCAGAGGTGACACATTGGCATCTGGAGAACATGAGCTGAAATTTTCTGTGAATTTTCAGAACCCAAAGGTTGAAGTTCAAGTTATACTTGCTAAGAAATCAAGTACTGAAAAAAGGCATCAGCCTACCCGATCTTCCTGGTAAAGAGCACACTTAAGCTAAGCAATTACAGGACTGCGTTCGTTGGTCTTTTTCTTGGATGCTATCTGTGACCTCTTAGGAGTCAGTGGAGACTAAGTGCTATGGCTCTGTGACCCGAACAAAGCATATGGAGATGCAGTCACTGGGGTGTCTGTAGTCACTGATGTGGTCTTTAGGGCAAGGGACTTGATGTAGCACAGACTGAATAAAGAAAGTGAAATAGAACTTTGGATAGGTGTGGGACATCATAAAATGTAGAGTAAGAGTAAAGAAAAGAAACAATGACTGAAAATTTCCAGTGTTTGACAATCATTACATCAGTATGTTTAAGAAGCCCAACTGCGTCCACAAAGAAAACCTGCAGTTATATTTTATTTCAGCTGTCCAGGTGGCACACACCTGTAATCCCAGTGGCTCAGGAGTCTGAGGCAGGAGGATCACAAGTTCAAGGGCAGCCTCAGCAATTTAGTGAGCCTCTAAACAAATCAGCAAGACCCTGTCTCTAAATAAAATACAAAAAGTGTTGGAGATGTTGCTCAGTGGTTAAGGACCCTTGGGTTCCAACCCTGGTACCAAAAATAAATAAAATTCAGTTGAGGTAAGAAAAGCATGATGAAACAGCTCATATGATCAATATGGGCTAGGTAATGGCAAAAGTCATGACTCAGATTTGGGAAGGGAGAGAAGTTTGGAGATGAAAACACAGCCCTATACTCTTGTTGATCGCACGATCACTCTGTATGGTTGAAACTTAGTCACCAATGTGATAGTATTAAAAGCTGGGACACTTAGAGGTGACTAGGAGCCATGGGGGCACTGCCCTCATAGATGGGATTAGTGGCCTCACAAGAGATGTGCAAGGAAACTTTCACCCCTTTTGCCCTTCCCTGTCATCAGCCACACGAGGACACAGGACATGTCCTTTCTTCTCTCTTGTGCCAGGTGAGGATCCCATCTATAGAACAGGCTGTTGCCAGACACTGAATCTACTGGCACCATGATCTTGGACTTCTCAGCTCACTGTGAGACAGAAATTTCTCTAGTTTCTAAATTACCCAGTCAGTGGTATTTTGTTACAGTATCAGGATCATACGAAGATAACTCATAGAGTCATTGTCAGAAGCAAATAAAATGATTGGTTGATCTGTGTCGGGCTGGGGGTGGCTCACTGGTAGAGTACATGCCTGAATTGAGGGAGTAGAATATGTCTAACTTAACTTTTTATCTCTCAGTTCCTAATTTAGTCCCTAGCACCTAGGACTAACTAAGAGCTCATTTTCTTTTTTGTGTGTCTTGCTAGTTAGTACGGTCACATGAACATTTTCTATGACATTGTTAAATCAAGAGTAGTACGTCTGATGAATGGATAAAGAAAATGTGGTATCTATACACAATGGAATGTTACTCAGTCATAAAGAAGAATGGAATTATGGCATTTGCAGGTAAATGGATGGAACTGGAGACTATGATGCTAAGTGAAATAAGCCAATCCCCGCCAAACCATAGGCCAAATGTTCTCTCTGATCTGTGGATGCTAACTCATAATAAACAGGGGGAGGAGGGATAGAGAATAGATGTTCATTGGATGAGACAAAAGGGAATGAAGGGAAGGGAGGGGGATGGGAATAGGAAAGACAGCGGAGTGAATGGGACAGAACTTTCCTATGTTCATAGGTGAACACATGACCAGGGAAACTCCACATCATGTCCAACCACAAGAATGGGAAGTTGTACTCCACGTAGGTACAGGATGTCAAAATACACTCTACTGCCATGTGTAACTAAAAACAACCAATAATCTTTTTTTAAAAAAGAATTATACAGGAGATCTTCTGTCTACTCACATATACACTCACCCCTAAAATAAATTAAAATATTTCCTCATGTAGTTGCAAAAGGAAAGAGACATTGTCTCTGTTCCTGACCTCAATGATGCATCTTCTGCTAAAAGACAGATATCAAAGTAAATGGTCAAGACAAAAAAAAAAAAAAGAGCAATACATCTGAACACATGAAAGACATACAAGCATCTACATTCTTTAATTTCTCCCTATGATGACCAAAAACTATATTTACTAAATATAGCAATATTTTAAAAAATATATTTGCTTAAGATAAATGAAGATAGGTATGATAATTTGAGTGTGAACAATGTATGCTTTTGAAGCATAGAGATATATAATGAAGAGAAAGAACACCCACTAAAAATCCCACTTCTGCTCCCCAAGTGACCACCCTCCAGAACAACCACTGTTTTTGCAGGGGAAGGTCCTGGGGATGGAGTTTGCATGTTAAACTCATGCTTTACCCCTGAGCTCCACCCGCAGCCTCCATTTATTTATTTTTTATTTTTTTGTGGGTGTTGGTGATTAACTCCAGGGCCTCATATGCTAAGCACATGCTGAGCAACCACCCTTGATAAATTTCTAGAGTTGTTTTTTGTTTGTTTTGTTTTTTTCTCTATTTAAAAAAATGTTGGCTGGGGATACAGCTCTGTGGTCGAGCAGCTGCCTACTACGTGTGAGGCACTGGGACTCAATCCTCAGTTCTACAAAAATAAATGAAAACATTAAAAACAAAAAATCTTTATAAACTCGAGTTCCTACAGTATACACAGCTCTACAACCTATTGTTTTCTCTAAACAAATTTATCATAAACTTCTATTATTATTTTTAATTATAGATGGACACAATATCTTTATTTTTATTAATTTATGTGGTGTTAAGGATCTAACCCTGTGTCCCATGCATGTAAGGCAATTGTTCTACCACTGAGCCACAACCCCAGCCCCTATTATTATTATTATTATTATTATTATATATTTTGTGCTACCAGGGGTTGAACCCAGAAGCACTTAATCACTGAGCCATATCTCCAGCCCTTTTTTAAACTATATACATAGATAGATAGATAGATAGATAGATAGATAGATAGATAGATAGATAGATAGATAGATAGATTAGTTGTAGACAGACACAATATCTTTATTTTGTTTATTTATTTTTATGTGGTGCTGAGGATTGAACCCAGTGCCTCACATATGCTAGGCAAGTGCTCTACCCCTGAGCCCCAGCCCCCGCCCCTCCAGCCCTCTTTTATATTTTATTTAGAGACAAGGTCTTGCTAAGTTGCTTAGGGCCTCACTAGGTTGCTGAGGCTGGTTTTGAACTCGCGACCCTGGTGCCTTCAGAACTGCTGGGATTACAGGCGTCTGCCCCTGCACCCTGCCAATCATACGCCTCTTTATTTGACCTTCATTATTCTTTATTCCTCAGGATAGTTAATGTTTGGCCTAGGATGGGGTCTTCCTTTTCTACCTGGGATCCGCCAGTGGAATGTTACCCTGTCAACTCTTTGTTGGAGCCAGACAACTTGGGTAGAAAGACAGACATGCAGCCTGGGAGGTGGGGAGCTACTTGGGGGGCAGGCATGTTTTAGAGGAAGAGAGAAGTTGAAGGGAGGCCAGTGTGTTCCTAGAGTCCCGGGACAGAGGCCTGAACCTGGGAAATTCAACCAATCAGGTCTGGCCCCACAAATGGAATAGAAAAACTACTGGTACAGAGCAGGAAAGGAAATTGAATCCTTGTAGCTACAACGAGAAGACAAGGTGACACACACCCTCAGCCCTGTCCGTCAGCAAGGGGCTGACAATGACTTTGAGTTTACAGAAAGAATAATGAGGGGTTGGGGATCTAGCTCAGTGGGTAGAGTGCTTGCCTTGCATGCACAAGGCCCTGGGTTCAATCCCCAGCACACACATAGCAAAAAAAGGAGTAGTGAGGGTAAGGTTGGAGTGATGTAGGACCCATAGGGCTGGACACCCAGAGGTCCAGAGGGGCTAAGACCTAGAGAT